AAATAATAGAAGAGAAAGCAGAGATATAGAAATATGAATATAAAATAAGATAAAAGTTTTGAATTACATATACACGCGCGCGCATAATTTGCAAAAAAATATTTGTACAAATAGTATTAACCTTTAAACCTCCACATCCCAAAAAATTACACTAACCACAATGTCGGTCTGACAGACCGCTATTATGCTCTCGCTAATTTTATAAGTTACGTATATAATAAAAATGTATGTTTTCTTAATATTTGTGATGGGGAAAAAGAAAATGTTTTATTGCGAGGGTTAACAAAAAAATCTTGTATATAATAGAAATAAAATATATTTAAATGGTGACAAATAAGAAAATGGTTGACAAGTAACGTTTCAATAGCGGTCTGTGAGACCGATATAGTGGTTTAAAGGTTAAAAATGAAAAATATATGATTCTTTTTACGAGATATTTTTGAGACTGAAAGCTGTCTGAAACGTCGGATAGAATGTAAGCGCTTCGTATGTTTGGTCTGGATTCTAAATGTCTAGAATTGAGTGCGTTGCACGTATATGTTACCTCTGGCCGTCTTATCAGCGCCGTCGTATACTGCGTATGCAGCAGAACTTAGTGATAGTAATGCAATATCAACGACCTGATATATTAATGCGAACCTACCTGACACCAGTTTCTAGATATAATCACTTACCCGTCATTCATCTCTCTGAGAAACTCGAAACAAAGATTTTCAAGAGTCAGATAGATTCACAAAGCTTCACTTAACTACATTACGTTTATAAACGTAACATTTTCTCTACAACCAATTTACAAAGCTGTTCGGTTCTGAGAGAGAATTTTCGTTCCTATAGTATTTCAAGTTACAGTAACGCTTCTTATAATAATCGAATATTTTTTTAACTGATTTTTCATTAATTCGGCGAGTCGTAGTTCGGAAAATAATGTGAAAATATTTTTTCTTTTCCTTTTTTTCTCTCTTTCTATTCCGAATATCATATAAATTAATTTTATCATTTAAATTAATTTTAATTTTTTTTATTAGGGGAAATAGTAAAATTAATCTTATAGTAGTTTTTTTTCGCTGTATTTTAATCTTAAGTAAACAGTTTTTATTGCATACTTTAAAGTTATACGTGAGAGTAATGCATGACATACCAATGAAAATTTTCTTAATATTAAAATACAGTGAAAAAAGTGCTCCGAGGTAATTTCATTATCCCGCTTGTTTAATTAAGTACAATGGGAATAGAGAAATATTTTATAGCATCTTTATTCTCTTTATTCATAAATACAAATTAAGTTTAATTTTACACAAGAGAAAATGCTGTTGTTATCTGTTATCCTTTCAAGATGAATAATATAACGTTGATTGCATGCTTCAATAAACATGTAAAATTGCTTTTATTTAATCAAAAATATGATCAAAATTTGCTGGGGCTATTTATGTAAAACAACTAATTATTCTTATTCTAATCTATTTATAAAAGTAATTGTTTTTATTTCGATATTTATTACATACACTTCTCTTTAAAATGAATTTTTTACATATCACAAATGGAAGCTAAATTTTCTTGAAAAAAAAAAAGTTCCCACAAAAGCCAAACTTTCAATTCTCTGCAAATATCAAACATTTCGAAATTTCGATATGATAAAGTCCATCAACCCAACAGAATTATTACAGCATTGCTGATGTTGAAAACGCGGATCTTTCGCGTGCGGTGCGCTCCGGGATCACGTACACACTATAATCTGCAGTTGTAATGGAGAGTTGCGTGACCATGAACAAAGACCACCCTTGATCCTGGGCAGTGCCGCGCGATTGTCACGAATTAACGCTGTTATCCGTGCACGCGAGACGTGCGATCGTTCTATGCACGACGTGGTTTATCCGCGGTCTGAATCGTTTTGATTTTACCGGTTCGCCGAATGTCGGTCAATTCGGCGCTGCGACAAATCGCAAATTCGATTCGCGTTCACGCTCGCGCGCGTCCGCAGAGCAACGAAGCGCGATCGACGATAAATTCTGCCTGTCACGTAGAACTAGCGGATCTATAAAGTTCATTTTGGGCGTGAGATTATATTCAAGGTGAAAGTTGTAGCTCGAATCTGGCGAGTTTTCAATTTCAACATCCGTTTGATTTGTCATTTATTTCGATAGTAAAATAAATCGAATTTCACAACTTGTTAAAATATATACAGTGAACTTGTAGTGTACTTAATTTTTATTTATTCTGCAAAGCGAATAAAATTATAGGTGAATAATCGATTAAAACTTGACGATATTTATTTTTAACTAAAATTAAAACATATTCTAAGTAATAGAAGAAAAATTAAAGAAATGGTAAAAAAATGAATTTAAGTACAAAGTAAAGGATATCATCAATTCGTGATTTATTTTAATTAAAATTAGGACATGTTCTAAAAAATAAAATAGAAAATAAAAATTTGGAAATGAATATAGATATAGAATGAGATAAAGGATATTATCAATTAATTAATATGAAATTAATAAATATAGTTATAGTAAATATTATTTCTTTTATTGCAGGATTACTGCGCATTTTTGTCGTATCTCTAACTTTAAAATAAGCTTTAAAGCTTTATTTTACATATTTAAAATGTTTAACTAGTTCTAAAATTAGACCAATGCAATTTTCAAAACAAACATATTTGAATAACATTTAAAATTTAAATGACATTAGAATCGTCAATATTTGCTTAATATATTCTTGATAAACAATGTATTATAATATGATTATGACTAAAGATATCTTAATATTACATAATCAATCATCGAAACTTATGCTCTTCTTCTGATATTATGTAACGAATCTACCATATTGAATCAGTTTCAGACTATACGCATCATAATCGATTAGTTATATATTCGACTGATGACGATGTACCACTTATCGTTTTCACATTGACTTCTTGAAGTAGAATTTATAACTAGAATACTATTCGCTCTCTTACATGCTTGAAGAGAGAGGGGGGAGGGAGGGAGAGAGAGAATCACAGTTTTTACTCATGCTACTCTTTTACAGTGCTAATCCAAATGCATCACATGTATGAAAAAAAAATCATTGGGAATGCATCAGATGAATGTTTAAGAGTGTATGCTCAAATAAGTATTTTGTAATTGAACTTTGCTTTATTTGCTTTAATAGCAAACGTTTAAATATAGAAATTCTAGTTGATTCTGCGCGATTTATTCATCGAAAAACACAGAGTTGCGCTAACGAAAGGCAACTTTGCATTATAATAAAAAAAATGATAAAATTATTAAATCTAGGGTACAGCGGGGTAATTTGAATAGTGGGATAATTTGGATAACAGTAAACAACAGTAAACAGACATTGATCTAATGAAATGTATCTTAAAATCTTTTATTTTTCTGAAATTCTTGCAAATGTTTACTGTTATTCAAATTACCCCACTATTCAAATTACACCGCTACATCCTATAACAAACTTTTTTTCAAATTTACATTTTAAATTAATTAAAAAACATTTTTTTTGTTATGGTATAAAATATCTTACATTAATTCAGTGGCCACTTTAACGTTTATAAAGTCTTCGTGCAAAATGTAAAAAGAAGATTGAGTTTATACGATAAATTGAGTTAGTTGTTCTCATAACTCTCATAACTCAGTCTCTATGAAATGTAATTATTTGTAAAGGTTGAGTTATTGCATTTCGCGCGCTTACACGATCTTATCAATAATATAGCAGTTCTAAACTAACAAAGTATCTTCTTGATGTGCAGAAAAGCTCTGAAAAATGAAGGATGACGTGGACGAGGATGACTCCGGCGCGTCCTCTTCGGGTAGCGCGTCCGTGCCTGAAAGCACCATTTCATATGGGTAAGTCAAAATTTTCATACTTTAGATTGATGCATGCGAACGTAATTAAAAGAATGTAAAAGAATTTCTTCTACGTTATATGAAGTGATATGATTAAGGTGATACTTGTCAAATGTATTAAAATTTATTTTTCTGTTATAAAACTTATTATTATTACATAAATCAGATATGAATCGTTTTTATTGACTATTAATCGCCGAAATTATATCTATCGCAAATATTAACTTACATGAGCATAATTGGGCTACAGTAATTTACGTTTTGGAAATGTTGGAAATGAATTTGTTTACTGATATGTTCTTCAAACATGAATATATATAATTTACGATGTTATTCGCTAAATTTGCACGAGAAGAAAAATTGATAAAAATTAGACAAATTATCATGATTGATTAAATTTAAAAATGAAGATTATATGTCAAACTTTAAATTAGCCTATTCACTGTTAGTTTATTCAAGAAAAAACATAGAGCTCGTTCCTTAGTAAATCGACGATTACTTGATATTGCTTGAAACATTCCTCGTATGAGCGTTTTGATGTGAGAATATGAAGAGCTATTGTGTTTCACTGATAAAGTTACGTTACAAAAGTAGAGTTTACTATTAATTCAATTATAGCTACTTACGAATATAATCTCCCTGGATGATCGCTGCTCTTCGGTTAATTAATCAGCCGTAAGTGCGGTGCATTACTGCACTTCCATCTAATCGGTATCATCAACTTGTTGATATCACAGCATCGTTGATTAAAAAGGGTTTCGTTCTTTGAATTGTTGAACGGATCGTATCAAAGCTTTTACATCTATTATTTAAACATAGCTTTAAAACCGACGAAAAATTTCATTTTATTATCTACTTTTTCTTCTTTTTCTTTCACGGAAATATCGCGCAAATTACAAATCTCTTGAAATATTGTACAATTATTTTATGTAGTTATTACTTTCGCAATTGAAGTGCTCAGAAATATAATGTTAAAATTGTGTGCACTCCAATACAATTAATTTTTTTATTCAAGAGTTACATAATAATAATAGTACTAAAACTTTATCTTGATTTCAGAAATATCTAATTATCGTTCGATTTATTAATATTGCTCGGAAAATATTTATGTATAATACATATAATTGAATAATTTAAGTATGAAAAACCCATATATTTTTATTATTAAATTACAACATAACGTTATGAGAAAATTTAAATATTTCAGTGAATCATATTTAATGCCTAACAATCATGATAATATTTCCTAATTGTATCTAGAATGATATACTCAAAAGAATATACGAACACATATAATGGACAAGTTGGTTATTTTTGTGACGTTTTACTATACAATCCGTATATAAAATTGCGCGAAATACATTGAAATTGCGTGCTATATTTTATTTGTAGACATTGCTGATAAGAAAGTAACTCAATATCTTGCGCGCGCGATCTTCGACCGCAATAAAAGGGTTATAAATGAATATTTACTTTGAGTAATAAAAAAAGGAACGAAATCGGGCAATGCCACGAAGATACAAATTATTGATGTTCGCAGTAACAAATATAAATATATGTAATGTCACGTGTAATAAAATCTTATCGGATATTACGACGTGCGCGTGGTTACCGTGATTACTGTTTCGAGGATCACATTTACGAATTTTATTTGCCTGTCAATCCGTTTGAAACACGAAGCGTATGCAGTTGAAAAAAAATCACGAATATCAGGTCGTCGCATTGGGTAGATCGGTTATCCGGTAATTCAATGCTTTTGTTATATCGTATGGAGCGAAAATTATTATCGATATTCTCCTGCATTGGTGGAAAATTTAGCAAACTACGCAGTCTGTTTTTTGAACATCGACCTTCGCATTCTCTGCGACATCAGTTTAGATGGCTCGAAAAAAAAAACTTGAGTTTCCTTCAGTACTTCTTATTCACGTTTTATACATCATAAAAGTCACATAAAATCCCGGTAACACTTTATCGTTCGAAAGATCGGAGTTCTATGATTGAAAACAATTTCTTCTAATAATAAATTAATTTGCTTGTGAGAAGCAGAGAATAAAAATAAACTTGCATTATGTTTAATTGCATTAGTACAGTATAGAAAATATACTTATCTTATATGAACAGGGATATATGAGAATCTCGCATTATGTGATTATGAATCATTTAATTAACGATAAAATACAATTTTATTAATTATTTACGCAGTTAATTACACATTCAACTATATAATCTGTATAATTAAGAATAATATTAAAGAATAATATTATATCTAGTATTATAAAGTCATACACGTTGGTATTCTTATATTTATACTTATTTAAAATACATATGTAGACTGAAAAAAATTATTGATTTATTGTGAGCGTTGCTTAAAAAGCACATTGCGCGAACTCGTATGAATTCGTATGATCGAAAGAGAAAGGAAGAACGAATATATCGAGGGATGGAGGGAGGGGACTTCGTTTTATATACGCGCTTCAAAACTCCTTTCTTATCGCTGACCTGTCGGTGTGAGCGTTGCCTAATAATGTATCGTTATCACGCCAGGCGTACGAATAGACGAGCGGCGGGAGAAGACGAGGGGAACGATTGGTCGTCTCCGCGTGGGGGGAAAGCGCTGATTGGTTACCGGGAGTGGGGGTTGCGTTCGTCGGAGCAGTTCACGTCCGACTGCCGTGAGTTGCGGTCTCGCCGGTACACTCTGTCTCTCTTGCACTCTTCTTTTCGTGTCTCTTCCATCCCAGTATTCCCGGTCTTGGGTAGGGCCGTGTGACGTTCACTGACTGACAGTTTCGCGGATACTCGTGCGTAAGGTGGCATGATGTCGTCGTGTCGACGAGTCAGCGGCGCGTCGTAATTTTTTTTTTTTTTACGTGGAAAAACGCGCGATTTTCCGCGCGCAAACGCGAGCGCGTGCGTGGCTGTGTCTTTTGCTTGCGACGTTGCGACCGGCAAGTAGTAAACAGGTGACGCCGACGAGCGGAGCGGAACGGCGGCGTCGCGCCGGTAGCGATTGACCTTTTAAAACGCATATAGTGCGTCGCGTGCAAATTGCGCGAAATAGCAGCGGCCGCTGATCGCGACGGTGTTTGAAATAAATCACTGCTCCGCACTACGGAGCAGTGGACACCATTCGGTATACTGTGTCAAGGCCACCGGCGGCGAGTTCGCGCCTCGTGTCACTACGTAGCGCATTTCTCTCTGCGCAATACCGGAGGAAGGACAGAGGAGAGAAAGAGAGAGATATTGTAAAGGAAAAAAGAGAAATCCGCGTATGCGATACCCTGCATCGCCGCGATCATCGAGAAACTCGCGGCTTTGCAATTGCGTTCCTCAAGATTTGCTTCTAATCTAAAAGACGGTGTCAAGGCCGGTGTCAATTTCCGGCGAACGTTTCACGAGCGGCAGCGTAGCCCCTCGATTGCGACAACAATCGCGCGCGCCCGTGCGCACGCGCGCATTTGTCAAACTGTCATCAACAGACTTCGATGGGATTCATAAAAATCGCATGAAGATGCCCGTGACAATCTGGTCTCGGCTTTGCGAGAGTTTCAGTGAAACGTTACTTGTGCGCGAAATCTATAGGGAATAGAGTTTGTGTGAAAGAACGCTATACGCTCGCGCGGTCGATGTTTGTCGATAGCGCGAAAACACGGAACGATATATCGTAACTGTGGGAGTAGTCCCGCGGGAACGACGAAACGTTCAGTGCCGGCACGTTTCATCGATCGATCGATCAAGCGCGACAAACTTCGCGCGCAACATTTTACCAGATAGTGGCAAGGCCAGAGGATTATCACCGCGCGAATAAGCTATCGAGCAACCGCGATTAATCGCCGGCTAACCGGCTAATTTTAATTCGACCGGCAAACAAGCCGAGCCGTCGCCGTCCAGCGATAAGGCGCCGGATAGACATCGCTACTGACGACGCGTCTCCGGACGATGCTGCCGTTCTCCAATATGGCGTGTGCGACGCCTACAGGGACACCTGCTGCGAACTACGGCCTATGTTTACCGGTGCAAACGAGTGATTATTGAGTAAACCGTGGATAAGGACAAGTCGCAGTATTGACAGTCGTCGTTACCTTCGTGGCGTAAAAATTGTGAGACAATATCGGCGGGAATATATTGAGAACGTGAATTATAAAAAATTTGCGATTTATAATGACCAACAACGACGGGCAGACGTACTTTGTACGCGCGGACGGATGAGGGAACTCTCTTTCGAAGACGTTATATTTACTTATCGATAAATGCACCTCGAAGTGTACGGCATGTGGCAGCAGCAACAGCAGCATCAGCAAGCGTATTTGAGGGGTTTACCCCCGCAACATCCGCAGCAACAGACTCTCCATCCAGGGATCATCGGCACGGATAACCACACGCCGCATCAGCCGCATCAGCAACATCATCATCAGCATCATCGCGCTACCATTATGGATTTGCCGGTACCAAGGTCAGTCTCGTTGTCTTATTACGAGATAAAGTCGGGTGAATCAAGGCGAACGGATATGCGGATAGAGGTCGCGCGTCCGAGTTGCACTCGGATTTTGAATCGAGCGTGTCACAAACTTTTATCAATCCTCAAAAAAACGTTGCGAAGAGAGTTCTCTCATATCTAATGTGATTTTTGTTATTTTGATAAATGTAACATACAAGTAGTATCTTCTCATTTTTAATTTAATTAAGATTTCAGTATTTTTCGAACAGGCATTAAATTTTTTTAACAAACGATACAATTTTATTGGTATTTTACCTTTAGCCTTACCGTGCGTACACATAACGAATGATAATGAAGTGTATATCAATCCCACTTATTCTCCATATGAATCGCATCCAAATGAAGAATATTTCAGAATCTCGAATCGTTAATTTAATGAAATTAACTTATTTGATCAATTTAGAAGTAGCCTTTTCACCTTGAGAATCATTTATTGCAACTATTCTAATATCTGAAAATCTGAATATATAAAATGTCTTGACCTTTTTCGAACAGTTTGACAAATGTGTTTTTATTCTTTCAAATTGAATATCGAAGAATAATGAAAATTACATACATATATATTTTTTATTTTGCTATATATAATATAAGCAATAATTCCTTAATATTAATATTCTTTAACACATTAAATTTATGAGATTTAAATAACATTTTTTAATAGAAGGGAAAGCTTAGTCATATATTTTATATTTAATTACAAACTTACATATATATAATTTTATTATATACTTATATTTTATTATGAAACAACTAAGTGTAATAATTAATAACAGCAACAATTATCTCGATTTAAAATGTTACAAAAAAGAAGCCAATAGCAAAATTACACAAAATTTAGAATATAGAAAAATTTAGAATAGAAGAATTATTATGAAATTTGATGTACATATGTGTATAAATCACGCGCATTTACCTGCAAATTTAAAAATAAAAAAATATTAACGATATTTATACATACAATATACATATGTATAGAAAGAGATTGGGATAGATATAAAATATTGTATATGTATAATTTTATTTCTTTATTGTTTACATATTGCATTCAATCCGATATAACATATCAGCATTTGCGATTTGTGTATTTTAATAGCACATAAGGCCTTGGCTTTTGCTCTATCGAAGTTTACATATATATATATATATATATATATATATATATATATGTATTCGGAGTATCGTCGCTGCGCAAGAACACTTTACTCACTCGTGAATAAATTTATTCATGAATGCATAGTTGTCTTTCTCTAGCAACTATTTCAATGATGATTTATTCTCACCATGAACGCGACAAATCGGGCACCATGTCTCACAATCAGTTTTTTTTTAATTTTGCTATATTTCAAGTACTATTTATTTGCCTCTCGTCTTTTCTCAAAGTCAAAAATTTTTACCGCGGCATTTCCAAACCTGGTCATGTTTTCATTCAAAACGTTACTGCAATCAGTGCTTCTGTCTTTCACTCTACGTGTCAACGCATATATTTATGGTCCGATGAAATCTGACATCTAAAAACCTGCGTGAATAATTTAGTAAAAGAATACAAGTTTTTATTGCTTTTTTAATTTTATATGTACACTATCTCTTTTCTATTTTTTTGCGAACGCAAAAAATAATTTAATACAAAGTAAAGTTGAAATATCTATAAAGTGTAAATCAATATTCTAACTTCATTATTTATTATTTATTATTTGAGCAATATTATCACATAGGTACGTTACACAATGAGAGTTAATTACGATTTTGTCATAAAATATCTATTGTATTGGTGATTAACTATGGTGATTCTATTTAAAATAGCTCTTGTCAGTAAAATTTGCATTTTATTAATTAAATTACGTTTGTGAATATACTAAAGAATTTATGACATGAGATAAAAAATGAATTAAAGCCGCTGTAGACAAGAATAAAATCAAAATTTATTTAAATTATTATAGCGAGTTAACTTCAATAGGAATCAGAAATATATTTTTATCCCTCAGTATTCAAGATAAAACGTATTATATTATGTACTGACGTTTTATATTATTTAAAAGCTTATAATTTAACCTATTATTACTGACAGTTTGACTTGTAAATATGACAAACATTATCGCGCTTAGCTATCTTCGGAACTGATAAGTCTGTGCACAAATAGCGTTGGAAGTATGAGAATTCACGTGTCACACGTGAAATAATGCTGACTACTGTAGAGATCGACGACTATTAAAAACAAAACTGCGTGATTAATGTACGAAAGTGAGAATTTTATTATTTTTGAGACAAACGTATTTTCCGGTTTTTTTAGTGGTCAAGTGCATTATAAATTTATCTTGCCAATTATGAAAAGAAATTTTAGAATTTCTATTGCAAAATATGATTATCACTATCGTAATTGCATTACTTTAAAAATTATCTATGTAAAAATGTGGATAAATGTATTCAGAACTAAAAATTGTATCGTTTTCGTTATTTTTCAAAACGTTTGTGAATACATTCTTTTGTTTCAGTTTTTAGATGTAACTTGTATTTATTTTCTAAAACTGAAAAAAAAGATTCAAAAAATTTGTTCTAATTTTTGAATTTTAGGCAACGTAACCGCCGTGCACTTATTTTTAAAAATTTCAAAATTTTAGTAAAAGAAAATTTATGTGTGAACTATACAATGTACAAATATTACAAATAATCACAAATTTTTACAATGTATTTTTTTTAATTTACTGTATACCTATTATACACAAATTTAGTTATCTACTCATTTGCATATTCGCAACATTTGTGTTTCATATTACCAGAAGAATTATTTAGGAAAAGTATTATATACAATATATTATATACAAAAAACAGATTTTTTAATCAGGAATTTAAAAAAAATGCATTTTTTTTACATTTTAATTGATCGAAGGTCGTAAATTAGATCAGAAGAGTGATGTACCATCGGCGATTGTATAAAATCGAGACTATCGATAAGTTTTTACATCATTGACAGCTATACAAGTATTCGTATTAAAGTATACCTCATGGAAGCTTAATGAGCGACTGTGTTTCGTTTCCGATCGAATTTTACGTCGAATGAAATGAGCGATTCATCGCATAAAAACAAACGCAACATGGTTCTGTGTGATTCCGAATCCACGGCTTGATTTACATTGGCGAATTAATTCAACTCGACGACCTTTATAAGGAACGATATAATAACGTTAATGATAGCCTGTCTCGTTTGCATGCTCTCGAGAGAAATCTCGCGATGAAGACCCAAAAGAGCAAAGGGTATATAGTCTTATATTAGTGTTCTATTTGACAATTATACCAGTATATATTGATGATTTATTGAATAATTGGTGTTCCACGAAAGGATCCAACTGGATAAAGAACTAATTAATTGAACAAGGAATTAATTAGAATTTATGAAAGGTAATAGCGAATAATTACGGAATTACATAATTCGTTTATTAACTATTGAAAATATGTGCTGTAGAAATCAGAAGAGAAAATTTTGTAATATATCTGTACGTCTCGAAGAATTCTGTAATTCTTAAATTTTGATTTATTATTATTAATTAATAAAAGACATATACTTTTTATATTAATTTAGTTTTGAATAAATAAATAAATGTATAGAGAAAACATTTCTCTTTGATAAACCTAACTTGTTAAAACTAATTAGTTTTCAGTAAATAAGTTAGAATATTATTATAATATAAAATAATATTCTTTGATTATTTAATACAAATCAAAATATCGACTGTATTAACTTTGACGAGATAATAAGTTCCTTGTCGCCTGCCCCTTTATTGGCTATCACTCAAACATTTTTCATATGTTTTTTTATAAGTTACAAAGTTAGCGAAGACAATACAGATAATTCGCATACTTATCTATAATTTATGTGACTGATCGCTATTCTTGACGTACATTGGTTGAGGATATTCAAGTCATACTTTGAGGCTCTTTGGTTTGCAAATCTGAGTCTCCTTACATTCGCGACGTCATTCCCGTATATGCTGAAAATAATTTCGATTGCAATGTTCATGTATGATCGCCTGTACCTTACTCGCTCACTTGCCCGTCCCACCTATCGATCCCGTGAAATCGATCTAATAAATATAAAACATTGCTGCATAATCCGTCGTTCGCTGCTTCGTATATACATATTAAATATTTTAATAAAATCTGTTATTGCAGCCCCTTCTTTCGTTTTTACAAAGTCGAATTGTACTTGGACTTTTCCATCAATTTCAACTCGACAAGTTTAATTATCGACCGGATAATTAAAAAACTTAAGTTGCCACAGTTAATGGGGTATTAACAACATTATCTATATATAATACTCTTCGCAATTATGCGAAAAAATAAAGACTCATCTATCTCTAAAGTTTTTCATAACCGAAAACTTTTAAGTGACACAAAATTATCTAATATTCGCACTCGATTGAATTCGATGCGGCTCTTTTAATGTATCGGGATTGGACATTCGGCCTTCGAGAATGTCGAGTATTAGCATATCTATACAATCTTTTTATCGCGTGCTTTTTGATAAACCGTAAACATAGACCTTTTCTGATATTTTGTAAGACACGATCCTTGAATACATTTAACTCGGAAGCTGACGATCCATTCTCGCTCTGTCCCTGGCAAGACTTGATGCAACCTCGCATATTCATTTTCTCGCTCGTTACGTAACGTCTGCACAAATGTAAGATGTATAAGCATCTGTTAGAAGCTTACTATCCACTTCAATTGTCATATATTACCAGCACACATCAAGCTCGAGAAATGCTATCTTTGCCGTTCCGTAATCGGATTAGACCGGAAAAAAAAAGAGAATATCTAGTATCTGTTCATCTAAAGAATACAAAAGATATTTGATGTTTCTAAGAAAGAAATATTTTTCTAAAGAGCTGAGAAAAACGTACAAAAGATTTCTCTTGTATAACGGTTAGTTTTTTGAACGTTTATTGTTTTGCTACTGGATAGAGGCTGTGTAATATTTAGAAACAAAGTGATTCTTTTTATATATATCAATACTCTGAAACGGGAACGTTTGATGTCGTATCCGTAAATCAAAAAGCGCAAGTCGAGACATTACGTGAGACAAACATCAAATATCTCTTTTATCTCTGTACTGCAGTTGGTCGTTCCCATTCTAAAATATCGATTTATATAACTGCCTCGAAAACACGAGTTTTATCAGATTGCTACGGTAAACAAGTAACGACATTAAGATATCTGGTTTACGTAGTTGCGGAATTTTGTAAATAGCCAGTAATGGCGAATTATTCATTTATTGTTATCTCCGGATTAGGCAAAATAAATTGTTATTTGACAGCGTGTTTAAATTTTTTTATTTATTATTTTTATTGTAGTATGCAAATGTATAAATATGTATTTTTGTAACAAAATTTTAAATAACAAATTTCGAATATGGACATGAGAAATGAGATCTCACAGATTCTTTGCTTATAACCTTTCTATGATTTAAATTGACAAGACATGTCTATGAACTGAAACAGCAATTTGGAGTGCCTCTCAAAGTACATATTTGCATATTACGAATGGAGAAAAAAGTATGTTTATGATCGGTGAAGGCTGGGGCGAAAGGGTTAATGGTTACTTCGGAATTAATTGAATAGCGCTCGGAGCATGGAGACCTTGAACGGTCGTCATGTTTGCCGGCCACCGCTCATTCGCAGTTCATTCATACTCGCCGGCAGTCATTGTCGGAACCTATTTGTACTATTTCCTAGGCCTCGGTCGGTTCGAGCTCGCCAAAATTGCCTGTAGATACGCGCAACCTTCAAACCATGGCCGTAGCTATGTTCAGAGGTGAAGGCTGAAGACAACCGTGAGCTTCTACGCGTTTAAAAAGGCGCGCTGTAGGTGTCAAATTCTTGCTAACTGCGAAGTAAAATAATCTCTTTCGTCCAGTTTCAGTATATCAGGCACCAATGTTACTTAATATAGATGATAAAAATGCTTATTTTTTAGCGTGAGAAATCTAAAAAGAAGTCTAAACATCAAGAATTAACAAAATCTTTTTAAATAATTTTTAACTGTCAAGATGTTTAATGTTTGAAAATAAGAATTGTAGCAAATAAAAATTTGTTAAGAAAAACTTTTTTTTTTTTTAAAAATCAAATAATATAATCGATAATTAAACTTAATATGTTTCTATTTTTTGTATTAACTGGTAGCTAGGTAATTAGATAATATAATTGAAAGTAATTTCTATGTAAAAATAGACGCTTTAGCAAAAAGATTATGTACTTATGTGTGTGTACAATACGTGTGTACAATATCATAACGTGATTACCTTTTTGTGCTTCTCCCTATCTCTTTATTGGGTGAAAAATTGGTTTTAATTTAATTAACTTAAAAATACTTAAAAATTGATTTTGTCAATTGTTTCGTTCAATGTCTGTCATCTTTCTGTCTTACTTGCGTTCGGCAGAAGAGGGTAATGCACGATCGGTTATGCAATTACGCATTATTTTCATGATACACGAGACCAATCGTCGCCTCCTGAATGGACTCTTAAGTATGAATTGATGTTCCGCGTTAAGCTACGCCGCTCACGTACCTCACATCGCGTTCGATCATCGCACACAAGTACATTTACTTCAAGGAAGAAGCTCATTTGTGTCCGCAAGCTCTCGCGATCAACACTCAAAAATTACAGCGAATATCTCTTGGTAGTTTAATCTCTTGTTGCCATGTTTTTTTACGTTGACACAAAAATGTTTTTAAATATATTTAGATTAAGAAAAAAAACAACTAATAATTCTTTATAATATAGGATTTAAGAAATTGGATATAATAAAATAAAATAAAAAATAATTATTTTGAAATAACACGTAATTTTCACGCTTTTCTACATTACGCGAAAACATAAACATATGTTCTTTTTTTATCTCAATCTGAAAAACATAATTATCACATAACCAAAGAAAATATTTCAGAGGTTAGTTTAATTAGTTCTTCCTTAATCTTTTTAATTTCGCGCTGCATTAAAGGATTAAAGGAACTTGCCTCGAGCGAGTTCTTATTCTGTATAGAAATGCACAGCGTATAAACCCTCTTTTCTTAAGTCTTTCATACTTTCTTCTAAGGCTAAAAAAGGATATACGATATTCCTGATCGATTTACTTTTTATTTTTTTTTTTTAATTTCAAACAAAAGTGATCGAAGAATTTTTATTTATTTCTTGTATTTATATGGAAAATGAATTTATCTCAATGTGTTTTAATTTTATTAATAAATAGAAAATTAATCGATATCATTTATTAAAACAACTTCTTTTATATTCTTAAATTTTATATAAATTGAGCTCGGAATTATATAACTGAAAGAATTTTTTGTACAATATATGTATATATATGCATATATCTAATAATAGAATATATGCATATATCTAACAATATATGCATATATCTAATAATAGAATAAAGAAATATTGTAAAATGGACTCACAAAAAGCTATCCGTTAAGATTTTCCTGATTTTAATTAGTTTAATCAATAGCAGATGAATATAGCTGCATGGAACAGTAATTCGTTTATTCGCGAACTATGTTCTCCCTTTTGCATCGAGTATTTTCCAACGTATGTTAATTTATTTAATTAATTACTTGCGGAACCTCGAGGGAACATAGAGACAAATTTCCGCCTCGCTCGTTCTATGATTGAATATAAATTTCATATCGTCGAGGATGGTTTAATAAACGTAACATTAATATTATGTTTTTGTATATTATATAGAATACTATTACAATAATGGTAATCTCGTGAAGTGCGAAATATCATCAGCAAATTATTATATTTCGAATGATTAAAAGATCGCAAAACGTACTGCATAAATTAATGGCATGCATAATACAAATACGCGGAACATTAATTTTATTTTAGAATATGTAATAATATTTAATAATTTATTTTAAATTTTTTAATCGAATTACAATCGAGTTACCATAATGATTGCTATGAAGTCGTGTTCATTCGACATTATTTTTCGATATAACGACGAGAAAACAATCGTTCAAGAAGAATTCCTCAATTTTATCGAACTTAATTTAATCTGTACATTATAATCCATCGACTTGGTGCGAATGACCTTGAATATAATTTGGTGGGCTCAAGTGAATATTTGCTGAATGCCATCACTATTTTTGTCAATTCACAGTATGCATTCCTGCACGGTCGAAGACGATTCGAACAGCAGAAAAAAAGCTTAATTCTGCAGAAAAGGAGGAAACAAATCATTTCGAAAAAGAATTTGGAATATAATTTACTTCGTAACGTATGCATGGCGTCGCAATCTTGGAATTAGCTATCAAGGGAGCACAACTAAAGTTTTGATTTTGAGTTATAAGTATGGTAAATAAAAACTGAAATGGAAAATCGAGAGAACATAGTAGCAAAATATTACAATACCAAAATTAAAATCAGCAATGGCTTAAAAGTTGTTCTAAACACATTGTATTTTCGGTAAAATACTTTATATTCTTCTCAACATTATAATTTTGTTTGTCTTCGAATATTTGAAAAAAAAATGTTATTTCGAGATTATTACTTTTGTTGGATGTCACATCTTAGTTTTTCATTTCTTCAATCTCTTCAAGATCATTTTTCTACGTATAATTGGCTTGAGTTTTTTCTAATAAAAAAAAAAAAGAAAACTTTATTTTACGTTGGAAAAATACGTAGCATTTTATATATTGATGATAGAGTTCTTAATAATTTACATTTTAAAATACTTTGATATGTTGAACGTCATTAGTGTGAGCGCGTCTGCGTAGCTCGTAGCTCCCTTCTTTTTTCCTCTCTCTCTCTCTCTCTCTCTCTCTGCGCTTCAAATGTCACTAGGGCGAACATCTCAATCCCGGCTTTGTACTTAGACCTTAGGCAACGTAAACTCATTACTTAACCACTGCTCAAAGTATCATGGTGCGTCGACAAGGTCCGTAATTGCGTAATGCTATTCTGTAGAGCACGGAGCTGCTTTTACTGGTAAAGTTAGATCTTGGGAAAACAACGAAGTGTTTTTACTATTTCGCACGTTCGCACAAAAATTTTCGGCATAATAATTATTACATTCTTTATATTAATCTAAATTTAATTTTGACGTCAATTTTATATATCTGGATACGAGTCACTTTAATCCAGTTAAATAATAAGTTTTACTTAAAAAATGATTTATATGTATTCGAATATTCTCTCAAAACTTTGAATTATTAATAAAGTCCTTACGACATAATGATATTCCTTTCAATGAATTATGGATTGTTATATTAGTAGCCAATAATCGTATTTGCATCTTTAGATATAGTTATTGAATTTTGAGTTCTAATTTTATAACACGATGATCTCATGCGTTGTAAGCGTAAAACGTAAATAGAGCTTTTAACGATAAATATATGGTTAGGGTATGATATCCAGCATCTTCAATACTTTCGGTTATCTGGCAGTAAAACGTTTAACTGCTATATTTACTATAGCGGTCGCGGTTATTCCGCGAGCAGAGAAGTTGTGCAAGGTCGCGATCGAGACCTCCGCAAGGCCGCTGCATTATTTTCAGTCCCGTCGTGTCAGCGTTTCGTATTTTAGTTCGCCAAGTATCTCCGCGAAAATGCGCCGCAACGAGTAGCTCATTCGAATTTAGCGTCGTAATACGTAATGGCGCCTTCAAATGTATATAGTATATATGGATATATCGGATATATATATTATATATATATATATATATATATATATATATATATCGAATCGAAGAAAATGATTCCATCGGGCAGCATTTATTACGTACGTCTACAAGTGCGTTTCACAAAGAGCATTGTGTTGCATAAATTAAATCGGACTTAACTCCACGCGACGGAAACGTAGTTTCTTCTTTTATTTCCCTCTTTTTTTTGCTCTCGTATACTTCATCGTGACCTTAATAGTCGTCATCGTCGTCAATCGGAAAATTGTCACTTATACCAGGCGCGTACACGCGAACGGGAACGTGAAATACGAATGCAGTTACAGTATTTTCATGGTGTAAGGCGTTTTGAGCCAAGGTCCTTTGGATCTGCAGTCTCGATGTACAATCAAAAGCTTATGATTTAAAATTAAAAGATATGAGAATACACACATTATCTTTTAACGATACAATAGCATGTATTTCGAATTTTTGCACATAATAAGTGACTTCACATATTAATTGCATATTTATTACGAATTATAATGAATTCTTCCAAGTTAGGCAAATACAAACTGTCAACGAAAATTTCAATTTTTTTTTTAAGATGCAACTGATGAATTTTTATTTCAACAGGATTGAACTGTCTGAAAAATAGAGACTCTATCTTAAATTAATCGTACAGCAATATTTTTTATATTACGAACTTGAAAGATTTAAAAGTAAATAGATTAGAGTTTAATATCTTACATTGCAGATAATTTATAACTGATTACACGTTCTTCTATTATCAGCGATGCCATTTTTAAAACATAATTTTTATCATCAATCAACACTTTATCGTATATGTATTTATAATACGCGTAAAAAGACTTCTTGAGAAAACATATAAATAAATAATAATCTCTGATAGACTTTTATCGAAGATTTCTTTTTATGAAGAGTCGCCGCTATGAAAATCAAACTCTCGGTGAACGCACATAAGCGACACCGCCGGCTCAACGATGAACTCCGGTTCTCATTGCAATTACGCTGTCCTTTACCTAGGACATTGTGTTCTTAGTTACGTTCAGCAACAGATTATCTCGAATGCGTCATTCTAGCAGGAACTTCTTTAGCAATGAAAAAGAACGGATTGTATATGTGTCATCCTCGCGCGTACATATAGAGTAAGGAGAAACTATGTCAATCGTGGGCAATAAAATGTATTTGTGTTGTCACGTTATCGCGTAGTTTTCTTCGGAAGTTAATTTGTAGCATAATAATCTATAAAAAAAAAACGAGAAAAAAATAATGATCTCTCGACAGAAACGCGTGAAATCACGTGCGGCATAATTGGTTACGAAGGTGAAGTAAAAAGAACATATGCTTTTTTTTTTTTATTAAATGCGATATATTTATCTGCTTCCCGCGTGTCTACCTCTCGCTATTTCTCTGTATTCCGGTGTGATAAGACATAATCTTCGCCTCGCGAC